AAACACACGACGCTAACTCGCTTAAATTAAGGACCGCCCCCTTCAAATTATCCCCCCCGTCCGTACAGTCAGCGGATTCATACTTCTGCGCCCGCAATACTTTCGTTTTCCATTCAAAGCTCCAATTAAATCAAACAGGTTCACACCCCCCCTTTTTTTTTTCAACTTCATTCTACTATTACTACTAAAAGATTATTGAAACATACAGTAGACTAGTAAAACAATAGACTATTGTCGATTGAGAAGTAATTTCATAAACTCGTGGCTCGTGTTTTATCAGGGTTTCCAAACACTTGAGAACAATGGAATTCACTCGACTGTTCACCAAGCGATATTCATTGTTCTCTTGAAGTTGCAAAACACTCAAGACAATAAAAACCACTCGGCCGTTCCGGCCTCGTGTTTTCATTATCTTTCGTGTTTTACAAATTCTCGAGAACAATAAAAATCGCTTGGTAAACAGCCTCGTGAATTCCATTGTTCTCGCGTGTTTGGAACCCCCTGGTAAAACACTCTCACTCGTTTATGAAATATTACATAAAAAAACAGATACAAATAGGTGTTTTGCGAATTTGAGAGCAATTTCAAGTCTGTTCATTTTTTTTATACAAACTGTATGTGCCAGTAAAACGAAGACAAATATAACAGTATAACGTTACTGAAAATTTATTTTTGCAGCGATATTTCAAAGTTATGAATTTTGTTCGTAGGCCCAAAACGTTTGAAAATGACTGTTTTATTGATTATGTGGTCGGTAAATATGTCAGGTGGCCATAATTTCAAATTAAATGTTTCCACCCTATGTTTTCAGTTTCTCTGTTCAAAACGAAAGCCCATTATTGTAGAAAGGTCATACGCAAATTTTAGTATAGAAGGCAGTGACCGTTTTGTCGTCAATTCCTGGTAATGATCCGCCAGCTGCCTGATCTCTGTGAAAGTGGCTGTATTTTCAGGTGCGCTCAATAAGAAGCCAATCAATATGGTACAATGTTGTGGCAACATTTCCACCATTGGCATTGGTTGAAGCTAATTTTGACAGACTAACAATTCCCGAGGATTCAATACCCAGGTGAAGTTTGGTAAATACCATATTTAGAAACGATTGATAAATATGAAAGCAAGTCTGGTCCTTGTACCGGGTGTCCCCCAAAAATAAACATGTGCTGTTTGATTTAATGTAACGTAAAAGCTATAAAAGCTATTGCACTCAAATACGTTTTATTCATAGGCGTCGAAATATCGATAATTGGGGGCCCATATTCATATATTCGTGTTCACATACCATAAAAACAATTGATTTCAAAACAAATTAATAAAGCAGAACACGAATATATGAATACGCCACCCAATTAACGATCTTTCGACGCCTATGGTTTTATTGTATTCAGAAAGCTAAAGGGATAAGTAATGATTAGAACATGGTCACGTGTGCTCTATGGGATGTAGAGTCCCGAGAATTAGTTAAAAGGTTACGAGGGGCCGAGTGGCCTTTTAGCTAATTCGAGGGACTCTACAGGGTGTCCCCCAAAAAAGTGACACTATAGAAATTATCTCATTGTTCTTAAGCCGCTCTTAAACGCGCGTAGCCAATCAGAAGGCATGATATGTGATAACCTACTAGTAGGTTTATACTAACAATTTGGACAAAGCGAAAACGTTTTAAAATGCTTCATTAAATTCCCAGGGGTGTGTATACCCCATAGAGCACAAGTGACCATGCTCTAACAGTCTTAAAGAATGACTGCATCCACGGGGGAATTGAAGGCATGCAATTAAAGTTAGAATAATGATTGACGGAAGAGTGCACTTTAATGATTTGTGTATTCATGCTTACAATTGCGTACAAACCAACTGTGCGAGAGTGGTTAGTTTTATTAGCAAACAATTATGGCGAGAACGAGACATAGAAGTACGGCAGTACAAAGTTATAAACTGGTGATATAGTTATAAACTGGTACAAAGTTATAAACTGAATTGCTGCAAAAAGTAACGAATGTCTTACAAACACCAAAGAGTCCAATTGCAAGTGGAGAAAAAGTAGAATCCAACGAAGTTGTCGCAAAAAAGAAATGTGTAAATAAGGAGCAAAGGAAAGACCTATCGTCTAAAGTGCAGGTGACGTTAACTCATGGGGATACTACATTAATTTTGAATTTTGAGTGAAATGAACAGTACTGAATTATGACTTGAACTACGACATATTGAAGTTAGTTTATTTGGGTGGGAATTGATGTGTGTGCGTGTTAACGCTATAATTATAACGAAAATGCTGGTGTTCTTACTTTCTCAATTTTGGACAACTTGTACTGCTTTAGGTGTGATTTTTTATAAATTCATTAAATTAACCACTCTATTGTATATAGAGTCACTAGTGACTCTATACAGGGTGTATAAAAAAACGCAACCTCGGATTTCCCAAGAAATCGACATGGTTTTAAAGACAAAAGATTTTAGGCGCCTGGGAATTTAAAATAGCACAACTGTCAAAATTATTGCACACGCGAGTGCATAAAGCAAAATTTATGCATTTATTTAATGCACAACAACAGTAATATGATCTATTAGCAATTCGATTTCAATTCCCACGGGCTTAAAATCTTTTATGCTTAAGAATCAAGGGTGGGTTGACTACAAAATTTTTGTAGTTCGCTATAACTACAGCTACTTCAAAAATATGTAGTCAGCTACAACTACTGCTACTTTTGAACAAAGGTAGTTCGCTACTGACTACAGCTACTGATTAAAAAATGTAGCGAACTATTTCGCTATTTCGCTACTCTATATTTTTTTGGTATTTGGTAGGTATTTGGAGCATCCACTAGCTCAGGCTGTAGTATAACCTATAACACATCGACTTACAGTAAACAAAAAGGGTCAAAGCAACATTTTTGTAAGCACTACAGTGTTCAGGAGTGCCACTTTTCATTGCGCTACAATAATCTTTACTGTATAAAATAATCTTTTAAGCAAACCGTGTCTTAATATCATTCTCATTCTATCAAGTTGCTAAAAATTTTAAAAAGCAGCGAATAGCGATTCGCCGTTTGAAAGGTAGTCAACTACTTGGCTACTCTTAGGCAAAATGTAGTTCGCTATAACTACAACTACCGTTTTACAAAAGTAGTCAAAAACTACTGGCTACTTGAAAATTGTAGTTCGCTACAGTAGCGAACTACAACTACTTCGCTACTACCCACCCTTGTTAAGAATTGCAAGTGATTTCTTAGGAAATTCCGAGGTTGCGTTTTTTTTTATACACCCTGTATACAGGATGTCCCAAAAAACCCGAAAACTATTGAAATCACTTATTGTTAAATTTGAATGCCCTACCAAACAGCTGGACGTAATGATCCGTAAAATATTGACAAGGTGCATGCATTAGAATTTAGTTAGGAATATCTCCTGGTAAAGTGCGCGATTTTCTGCTCCTGGGAATTAAAAACAGCTTCTTAAACAGTTTCTTTATGCATAAAATTTACTTATGTCAATCATTTATGCACTCGTGGGAACCAACTCACTCGGACCGAGCGCGACGAGGGGCTCTGGCCAAATCCATATCAAACTGGCTTCTGATTGGCCACAACGAAATATATGGTTTATTGTATAAAATATGAATAAAAATCAAGCGCTCCATGAAGCGTTGGTTTCGTTTTGGAGAAAATTGGGAGAAAAGACATTATTAAAGTTGAAAGAACAGCAGTACGAAGCAGTTAGGAAGATTGTTGTTGATAATCGCCCACAAAAGCGGTAGATGTCGCTAATTTTATTTATTTAAATCAATTAGTTGATTGAAATTAATAGGTTGAGACGTGATATTCTCATAGCAAAAAGTCAGCATATTTATGGCAGATGCTCGTCGTATTTCCAAATCAGTGATGTTAATCAAACAAATCTGTGTTACATGTCCAAAGCTGAAGTTCCATCTGAAGAGAAAATATTAAAGCCAGCCAGAATATGAAGTTACTGTGATGACTATTTTCGTCCTAGAAACCGATTTTGTACAATTTTCAAAGGATTTGCAGTATAGTATATCTTATGTATGACTGTTGACTTTTAATAAAACACAAAAAAGTCTAAAAATCAGTACAACAGCGACTTAAAATCGAATATAAAATAGTGAGACAATCTCTCGTCTTCGTGTCCGTATCCATTACTGCTTTGACAACGTTTAAGAGGGAAATTAATATTTATCAACATACATTTTATCAACATACATTGAGAACATCACGTCTTACCTACTAATTGATTTAAATAAATAAAATTAGCGAAACCTACCGCTTTTGTGGGGTTTTCCTGGAGTAAAACTTTCAAAACGTAACAAACAAGAAAACCGAAATGTTTACCCGCGTTTGACGTTGAGCATGCGCAGTGTTAAACGGGATACCATGTTTTTATGGTATCCGGTTATGGATTTGGCCAGAGCCCCTCGTCGCGCTCGGTTGACCGCGCGTAAGAAGGGCTCTGGGTACGAGAATGATTGAGCGCTTGCGGCGCGCGACAAATGACAGAGGAATGGGGCGAGCTTAATATAAATTGACATTCATCCTCGTTCCCAGAGCTTCTCGGCTGCCTGCGTTGCCGTAAGTCCTGGGACACGCCGAACCGGAACACCACAAATTCTGGTGTTTTCCGGCCTGAATAAATGTGCTCTGCTTCGAGCTAAAAATGCTGACTATGCACAAATTTTTACTGAGGAGTGGAGACGTGTTGGTGAGCAGATAATATTGGATTTTTCTTTTGTTTCGATGTATTTTCCACCATCAAGGGAATATGTGCAGACCACCTAATGGAATTATACATATTGGGGTTTTATATTTTGTTATATCGTTAATATTCGTCAAAATACAACCATATTTCGGTCTCGTATTACATATGTATCAATTTGCATGTATGATGTAAACATGATCGAGTCGAAATGTGCTCGAAGTGGTTGCTCTGATTCGAAACATCGTGGGTTTTTGTACAGATGACCTGTTTCAACACGCGCTTGTAAAGTCACTTCAAAGACTGGACAAAGCCGGACTGGAAATTAAAGAGAAGTAATTCGAAGCTTTATCGTCCATCGTATGTTGTATATTAAAAGGAACATGAACGACATGTGACATGTCTAAACGGCGGTGTGTGTCTGTTTATTGGGTTACAACAACGGCAGTAACAATGAATCACCTAACATTTTCAGAAAATATAAATTTTAGATAGATGTCATGTATGACTCCATGAGTTTTGGATTTCAATTGCTAGATTTTAATCTATATTATGTATACAAAATCATGCGTGCGTAAATTTGAGCAAAAAAGCACAAGGTGTTTGTTTGGCCATATGCCCGAACGACTGTTTAAAGTACTTTAAGACAGTCTTGACTAAGGTCAACCCAAACACAATATTTCAAATTCCAAGTTGGATCCCAATGTTACACGATCCCATTATTGAATTTGACCTTGAACCTCCAACTTACCGACAAATAACAAATATTATTCGTAAAATGAAAACATCTGGCTCACCTTGTCCTCTAGATCAAATCTCCATTATAAGTTTTAAGCGTTTCCCATACCTCCGAACATATTTAACCGAACTAATTCAAGCAGTCTGGCTTTCTGGATCTGTACCTGACGAATGGAAGAAAGCTTGTACTATATTAATCCACAAGAAAAATGATGCTAATCTCCCCGAGAACTCCCGTCCAATAACTCTTCAATCCGTACCACTGAAAGTATTCACTTCAAGTCTCCGTAATGCAATGTTCTCTTACCTACTCGCCAATAACTTTATCGAGAACGAAATTCAAAAGGGCTTCACCCCTCATATATCGGGGACATTTGAACATACAGCACAAATGGCTTATATAATCAATCAAGCACGAATAAGACAGCGATCTCTCGTTATAACCCTTCTTGATCTCAAGAATGCGTTTGGTGAAGTACATCACAATTTAATCCAATCTGTTCTTGGCTATCATCACATACCTCAACATATTCAACTCATGATTAAAAGTAGTCTGCTCGCAGACTGCATCCCGCTCCCCCGCGGGACTACAGTCTGCTGTCATTCGACGCTAATGCCGTACAAGCTACCGACGAAATATGATCGGCAGTTTTTCATTGGTTCGCTTCAAAATTATATTTGCATAAATTTGCTTAGCTAATTTCGAGACGAATATACCGGTTTTACCGATTACATAAAGTTTCTGGGTGCTGTTGGGCAGACATTGCCACACAAAAGAGCATTTAACTTTTTGGGATGAATAAATTTGGTAGAATTTACAAATCTGGCATATTTTTTTGCCAGTTTATGTTCCGATTTCGTTGTATTGTTTTGCTTGACCTTGTCTATTGTCTATTGACCTTGTTTACATAATATAAAGTTCTATTTAAAGTAACGCACCTGATTGGATAATAAAATTAGAAAGCCATTAAAGTGCTGAAGTGCACAATATTATATCTATTTATACGTTTACGTCACTGTACAGCATTAGTGACAAATGGTCGCAGACTGTTATCCTTCCACCACGG